GATGCCGTCCTTGCATGAGGGACCCTCGCATATTTTCCACACTCGCCGGGTCATACGAGGCTACCGCGGAGCTGTAGCATTGTTTCGGAATTCATATGGCATAGAACATTAATGATGTCGTAAGCCGGCGTCACGAAGGCCTGTCACCTGCGTCGAGTTTCGGCAATCAGCTTAGCTCGTAAAGACGAGTAGTTTCCAGTGGCACCACGTGGAGGAGCAGACTTCACCAGCATATCCGTTCCCTTTGTACTGCATTTTATTTTGTGACTGACTTAAGTTTTACCGTGAGTCGATGGATCCTACTGGAAGATAGTTCCTACTGCTATGACGAATTTGGTCACACACTATCCAGATTCTGGAGATGGGGAGTTTCTGGCAGCGAAATTTACATGAACATGGATTAACATGCGCTTCGTGGGCTATTCACATTTGGAAAGCTTCTCATCCAGTCTTCTACTTGAGTAGGAAATTACTAAAATCGCCCCCGAATGGCAACATCTTTACGTGCAGCCCGTTCACGTTCGTTAATACGATCCACGCCCGACCCATCTCCGGGGTATGAAGTGGATCTCGCTTTATAGAGAGCAGCTCACCACCTGATAAGAGCTAATCGACGAAGCAACAGTAAGTACCTGTCAGGAAGTTGTTCATTAGCCATCGGTCTTTCTATCCTTACTGTTTTCAAAATTTCCCTGTGCTGCTCAACGTATTCCAACTTCATCAAACTTCCCAAAAGTTGTTTCGCGACATCTGGTTTATGTTCGGCCTGAATTCTATTTCAGTTGAAATCATGGTTGATCTGACGTTTTTCAAGCAAAATCCAAAGAAGAAAGGGAAGAAAGATTGAACCTTGAAAAACGGCTGCTTTTCGTTCACATAATTCACGAGTGCTTCACCGGTCAACTCATGAGCTTCTTTTGGTATCGTCTCCGCGAGAAATTCTTCTGAAAAGAGGAGACTAATAGAATCTAATTGATGACAGAAACTAGCAAGATGATTCATAACTCCAATTCCCTCATTGGTTACCTATTTATTGAACTCTAATTAATTATTATTAATTGTCCCCACGACAGCATACCTTGCCAATCCCAGAAACCGAAACTTCACCCTGCAAAGATGGACCTCGAGCTCATGTCAAGCTGGTGAGTCCTAGCCGCGAGTTAGCCACTCGGCGTTTTGCGTGCTGCTCTCATAGTAAAACTCACTCTGCAGTCCATGGAAATATAATTTTGCAGCCCAGTTCCGCTCATATGAAGGCGCTGATAACCGTTTAGAGGGCTCTTGTGCAAAAATGGAATTCTCGCGATAAAGATGTGGACATATGTCAACGTCTATACGTCCAGAGAAAGGAGGAGCTGCAGGTTGGTTAATTTCGAAGCGGTGTTTCTACATCATTAGTCCCACTTTTACAAGATGCTCCATGACCTTCGTACTAGCATGCGAATGCCTTTCCAATCCATTGCACAGGGGAGCTTCATCTATGGTGACTGGACACTATAGCTCTCTTCCTCTGCCACTGCGGTTTTCGAACGATGTACCTTGATCCTCTTACCCGGAAAACTAGACAGAAGACGACGGCCCCACCCCATCTGTAGAGGTGTCTTCCTTATTTCCTTATAACTCGCTGCTTCGTCTTCTTCAAGGCCATGAAATGGGAAGACGAACATTCCCACTCCTAGCACTCTCAAAATTAGTCTTGGGGAATCGAAAGTGGATGGAGCGAGCTACAGCGTAAATAAACATTCCGCTATTAATAGAGGAGCTGAGACATTGATAAAAAAATGTGAACGTATGGGACCTACCTATAGTAGTCACCTTTTGGGAAGAAAAAGCGATCAAGATGGTGAAGAATGCAAGTAGAACCTGAATTCAGAAGTTAAGAAATCCCGAAGATTGAGTGCCTCACAAGGTCGCAGGACGAGAGAAAAAAACGTCGTAGTGGACGTTGCAATTGATGGCGCAAGTCTGCTGGATGCGTGGTTCACTTATGGCCAGCAAGGACAGGCAGTTCACCAGACCCTGCTTCTAGTGCTCTGCGTGAAGCCTGCTCGACTGTACAGCCCCGATTCTTCCTGTTCAATCTTCAGGTCTACAGTTCTTCCAGTAGAAGTAGAATGCGCAGGATTTTGTCTACTAAAAGGTATACCTACTAAGGCGAAAAGAAAAATTGAAAAGAGCACTAACTCACCAACATTGCACCGTTCCCTTGTCGTGAGCGTCTAGATTTCTATTTGGCGACTATTTCAATTGATAGATAGCCGATAAAGCAAGGAAAGTGCAAGGGTTTATCACCACAGACTTTTACATCAGGAGCCATACCAAGAGCCGTTGAGCAACAATGAACAGATCTGTAAGCGTAAGGTAGTCTACACAAGGAACAGGGCAGCAGTGGTGGTTAGCGCCCTATTATGTAGCACTGATTTTAGCCCTCAAGAACATCAACGATGCTGCTCAGCGTACAACCTCACAGGACATCCAGCTTACTCCATCTCACTCCAGCATAGTTATTCTGGCGAAAGAAAGTGGTTATAATAAAGGAATCAGTGGATCTCAAGGGAATTCAAAAGCTGAGCGCTTTATTTTCCCGATTTTCCTTTCACTCTCATTTCTCGAATTGGCGTATAATACCGACTGCCAAGTGAACGGCAAGATACAGTCTATGGCGCTTGGGCATATCTGAACGCGACAAAAAACACCCCCTTTTCAATTTTAAACTTCAGGTTCACACATTGGACGTGGAATGCGCCGTGCAGAGTCTTAATATTCGCGGTTGAAGCGATTACAAGCACACCCGAGGGAGAAACTTCACATCGCCTACTGCACACCTCCCTGCCTACCGCGATCTTTCCCTCCTTGGTCTACCCTGTAGCTCACCCTTCAATTGCAGAAACCCAAGCTCGAATACGAGTTCATTC